AACATACCAAATACCGAACACCTGCCAAATACCGAACGCGCTGGGTTTTGTCTCAAATAATAAGCATATGCTTCATCTGATCAACACCTACTTAAGATTAAAGCATTCGTTGGCTTTTAATCTGTCTGCAGACAAATGGGTTTGTAGATCGTCATTGGCCACTAGATCCAGTAAGCCGTGATTGGTAATGCTGTACACAGTTTTTGCAAATTTCTAAAATCTCTTGTCTGTTTCCTTAGGAAAGTGTTTGAGATTCTTAGGCTTTAAATAACTATACCGGCCAATTTGTAATAAAGTACAGTTGTTAATATGCAAATTTAAATATTTTTCTGTCATTTTAAGCCATAATAAAGACCCAGAAACTATTTTAAAATTAATTTTCTAGCCGTTCGGAATTAGGATGGCGAAATGTACACTAAGCCTAAGTTCCGAACGCATGTTCGGAATTAGGCAGCGGTACTTCCTAATTTCGGATCGTTACGTTTTTCATGATATATTTACTGATTTTGAATTATTATTAATTGCAAATGCCTATATAAACCATATTAGTTATAAATAAAATCATATATTTGCCAAATTTTATAAAAGTAGAGTACTTTAAAAGAATATTTTTAGCAGAAAATGGTCTTTTTAGGCCCACTGAAGTAGGCTAGTTTTAAACTACCGAGCGTTGTTACATTTTTTGTAGGATAATTTTAGTTATAAATTAATTGTAAGTAAAATGGCTATAAAATACATAATTATAACAAGTTAAAATTATAAATTTTCCAAAAATTACGAAAATGTATACTTTGAAACAATTTTATTAGGAGATAAATGGTTTTCATAGGCCTACTGAAGCAGTTCCGAACCGCCGAACCTTACGTTTTTAGTGTTATATATACACATTATGAACTGTAAACAGCTAACAATCGGTAATTATTACCCTTTATAATTATATCTATTTTCAAAATTCGCAAATATTTAATACTTTGGAATGTTATTCTTATCAGAAAGTAAGTTAGTGTATTAGGCCTACTGAAGCAGTTCCAAACTTCCGAGAATGTTACGTTTTTTTCTGTTATATTTACAAATTATTAACTTAGGGTAACTGTAAACAGCTAAGTAAAATCGGAAATTATTACAATCATAATAGTTAGCCTATATATTTTCAAAATTCACAAAAACGTAGTAGCTTTATTATTAAATGTTATTTAGCAAAATAACAAACCAGAGCCAACACACCCTCATCACCCCTTATGACTCAGATTCTTGGGAATGCCAATCCCAAAATACCATCTGAACTGCCATATGATTAGCCCCTCTACATTCCTACATTATATAACCATGACATCATTCTGTCCTTGTTTATATTGAAATATGCAAAAAACATACCAGAGGTCAACTCACCCCATCTCCACTTACATGACTCACATTCCAGAGAATGTCTAACCAATACCTGCTGACGTAATGAGATCATCCCCTTCACAACCATGTTTTAACTCAACTCTTGTTATTTTTATTTGTTAAATCTTGTATGAGATATAATTTAAGAATTAAATGAGAATAAAAATTGCTTTCAATACGTTTTTGGGCTTCCTGGGCGCCGGCGGAATTGCCGTTCGGTATTAGGCGGCACAAATTCGGTATTGGGAAATTCGAATTCGGTATTAGGCAGTTTCAAAATTTTTGGTATTGGTTGAAAAAAACACAATTTCTGGTAATAAATATTATTATTATTGACTTCAAACGCTGAAAATTAAATCTGGAAATATAAGCAATCATTTTAATAACAACAAATAAAGCTTACTTTATACCTATAAATATATTTTACAGATTAATTCATAACCTAACCTTAACCGTTCGGTATTTGGTATGTTTACCTTACCTACATGTCTTTCTCTTCAAAATGACATTGGCCTATGATATGGCTAGTAATAATGACTTAACTTACACTGTATGTAATTCGTTTTTTTCGTACTAGCGTATTGCGATGGTTGGCTATTTGTTTATAAATTTTGAAATCAGCTGTTTTCATAAAATCGTACCTGTTGTGCAATCAATACCATATTTCGTTCTAAATATCAATACCACAATGAAGATAAAATCAATGGCTATCCAGTGTTACCACCCGCAACAACACAAGACGAAAATTACCCGAGCAGGGTAATGCCAAACAAGTTGTGTTTTGACAGTTCCCAAGTGTCAGCTGCAAAAGTCGTGCCGCGCCAAAAATTCATTTGATTTCTAATTGTCGTGAAATTGTTATATAGGCTAGCCTACCTGCTAAGTAGGCTACAGGGGTTGTTTATATACTAAAATTAAAGTTGAAAATGTGATCTTTCAAATGGTAGGCCTATTAAGTACATTGTTCACATCACAGTTGATTATAGAAGCGTTTTTTTTACGTAAAAAAAATGTCGGCCCATACCGCGGTACGATCGCATATTACGCTGGTGGCCATTCTAGGCGTCACGGCAAACGAGCATACGTTCGTTGGCCACCAAGCTAAGCCTAGGTTAGCTTTTTATAAAAAAAAGGCCAAGTTTATGTGTCACAATTTTCAAAAATCTTTAGCGACACAAACATGGGCACCCTAGCCTTTAAGTTAGGCCTACCTAGGCCTAGTGGTGGGTACAGTTTCTCAACTAGGCTATGCTAATATCGATTGAAACTAGGCCTATTGATTAGATTAGTAAACCTTCATGCGATTTTTTCACCATCAGCAAGTTTGGTATCCTTATAGGCTGGTGAAAGAAAACAGAAACTCTAAGTTAATATGCTAAGTTAGGCCTAGGCAGCCTTGGTTACAAGGCTTAGCCTAGTTGCACAGTAGGCCTAGGCCTACTAGAATTGCAGTAGCATAGCCTAGCTTACTTAATAATACAGAATAGTGAGAGTGAATTCTGGATAGGCCTAGAGGAAGTGCTTGAGGTTGAGGAAATGATGTCTAATGAAATTTAAGTAAGTTACCTAAACCATGAACTTTCAGCAGAGGAAAAGTAACCTAAACATAAGCAAGCCGCTTACCTCACTTATCTTATCCTTAGCATCCGCTAATATTCCAAAGTTTTTGTAGAGTTTTTCTATGTTATCAGAATCGACGTCGGTGGAACTCATAATAAGCAATATATTAATAAACTGAGCAATTAGCAAACTATATTGTTGCGTGTACTCCCAAGATATAACCGGAATGTCCACCAAAGCAAATTCTCCTTTTCAATTTTTTTTATTTACTTTTTCTTTTGTTTTAATTGTTCTTGTTGTTCTCTCTCCAATATTCAGTACAAAAGCGATCAGTGAACCAAAATATTGAAAATATTATGCTCTTTTTAGATCATTGGTTATGACTGATTAAGAGATTATAACATTAATAATGACTATCCTTCACCAACGAGCACAGTAATATGGTATTTGAATATTATTTAGTAGATCTATGTATTAAGCCTATGTCCAACGACGCGTTGCGCGGCGCTCCACGCGACGGTGAAAATGCGCGGGGTGGAGCGTCAGTGCGCGTATAGGTCCGCGCAAGACCTGTCCCACGGCTCGCGTCGCGCCGCGACACACGCCGTCTAGAGGCCGTAGTGGATAGTGTTAAAACCTCATAGAGACCTCCGTGCTACACTGTATTTTTAAAGATCTGTGTGATTGATTGATGAGTGATTCGGAAAGTGACGGTGAATTAGCGTGCGCCGCAGCTTGTTATCTATTGTTGAGTGGCGAATATTTGAAGTTAAAATTGAATTCAACGAAAAAAGAGAGGCGTTGGTGGATGGATGCATACAACAAGAGTTTCGCGCCAACATTTGCTGAATAACTGCAAGTTCAACGTGACACCTGTTCACCAGGTGGAAAAACGTCTCGTACTGGCCCAGGGCATCCATGCTCCAACCCATGTCTTTGATGTTTACCGACAACTCACGGGAACGGACGCGCAACCCCGCTCCGCGCCACTCTTGCGCGTAGCACCACGCGCTTACCCTGTCCCACCACGCGAGGCGTGGCACTCCTCGCGCCGTGCGCGCCGCGCAACGCTCCGTGGGACATAAGCTTTTGTGTGATAAATCATAATTCCGTCAAAGGTCATGCCATGTCAGGCCGCGGCCTTTGAAGTGGCAACGTCGCTCGCAAGTGGTGTTGTAACAGCTGTTTTGTTTGGAAGCGGAAGCAGCTAATGGTATTTGTGTATTCACGAAAGATTGGTTACAAGTGTACAGTGTACTGGACTATGACAATATTGACTCCGCTTATAAATGTACATATATAGATTTTTAATACATGTTTTATTTTTAATAAATTTATGCTCATAAATTTAAATCTAAATCAATAAAGTGCGAATTAATGAGCTTACATGTCTACCATGTTATGGGACAATCTGCCCCATCATGGTGGAAGGATTCCACCACTACCATATGTATTCTTATTGTTAGTTCATAGTTGTCTTGCGGTGGGGCACACGGGAGGGACTAAGGCTAACATATCTTGTAGTGTCAGCGTTCGCCGCTAGAACCGCTAAGTTGACAAAATTTAATTTTATTTTTATTTTTAGTAATAAAATTAACTTTTTTATTATAAAATATTGTTTTAAAACTATAAAATAAATTTTTAATTTTTAAAATAAAACTGTCATAACATAACCTAACCAACTAGACTTGCTGATAATATAAAAACTGTATAAGATAAAAATCTAATTAATGATTACTTATAATTTTTAATTAATTATAAAATTAATTTTAAAATTTAGTATTATAAAACCCGGGACCGGGGGGGATTTAGTTTTATTCGAACCCAGGACCTCTTGAACACCAAATCGAAACGCTACTAACTATGCCACGAACGCCGCTGAAAACACATCGTTTCGTTCGTTACCTTAATCGTGTTGCCTCAAGAGTAGACATTAGCCACTAGAGATATGACGTCACTACACCTAGTCCCTCCCGTGTGCCCATTCCGTTGTCCGGTCTGTTGCTGTTCTGCCTGATCCACGATCGTTCTGGTCTGCTGCTGAGTGAGTGCTGATTGCTGACCCACACATCCACATTAATTTTATTAATTATTACTGAATTTTGCTGTCTGCAACGGCTCCATTCTGTTTTCTTTTCTCACTAAAACTTTATTTGAATTTGAACAAGAACAACTCGAAAACACTGAAATAAATGTCTTTTAAGAAAGTGTAAAGCCAATATGAGTTTTCGCCAAACCTTATGCTGTTTTGTCCAATTGTCCAGGTAAAATTACCATTATACTGACCTAACCTTATTTTGAGTAAACTAGGCTAGTGAGAGAGGGTAGAGACATTAAGTTACCAATATCAATGCAGTTCAAGGTAAACTTTACCAAATTTGTTTAAGAATAACTAATACAAAATAGGTTTCCATAAATATCGGTAATTTCTTTAATCTAACTCGTAGGCTAATCACTTCAGTATTATTTTAGTTTACTAAAATTGACTTTGGCTAGGCCTAGTTTGGGCTTCGCCCATCTTTTCACAGGATAAAAGAAAAGTTACTGGTACAGTATACTGTAGTCATGGTTAAACTTACACACAATCTTAGTTTATTTGTTTTAACATAGGACTGATTAATTAGATAACCAACTTATTTTAAGTTTAGGCTATTCATTTAGGCCTACTTAAAACAGCTTAGCCCTTTTAACTTGGTCCCTGCTGAGGACTGCGATGGGAGTATGGTAGCCATATCCCCAGAGATTACCTGATTTCAACGTTAAAAATTTAGCTCTGGCGGATTTCTGCAACAAGTGAGAAATCTCTCTTTTACTCTACCTACTAAAATACATCATATAACAGCACTTTTGGAATAAAACAACTCACATAAATTGGCTGCACTTTATTTTACGTCCTACACTTATTCAAATGGAAATATCTATCATTCAATTGTTTCATTCGATTTATCGTTTGGTTAGGTAGTTAGGTTAGGTTAACCTTACCTATCTAACTAAACGATATCGCTTATCGATCAATATTTTCATTCGAATGAGTGTAAGACGTAAAGTAAAGTGCAACCCATAAATTAGCAAATATTGTTATGCAATAACTGAATAATTCAACTCTCGTACTCACTGGGTCTATCCATATCAAGTGATCCAACAGGGGTTGCTTGACCATTTTTAAAATAAATAATATTTTTATCCTAGATACCTTTATCAATTCTGGGTTCAAAAGTGATTTTACAATTTTTTTATCTATTTTGTTACTCCTACGGCGGCCATTTTTGTTTTGCGGAACACGCAAATTTTTGCTCATGTAAGGGTTTGCGTTAACTTGCACAACTCGGTAACCAAGAACATTAGAGTGATGAAACAAAAAGCATTTTAATCTGGAAGAAACAGCCTAAATATTATGTTCTGTACACATTTATTGAAATGTGTATCAAAAACAGTTTTAAACCCATCTCAACATTTCATAAGAAAACGGAAAAATTTCAACTTTTGAAGGCGTATTACCATTGGAACGAATAAAATCTCAGACTTGATTTTTTTTGTGTGTAGCAGCTCAGTAGAACTGTTTGTATTTCAAATATCAACCATGAGACTTAATTCCTTTAAAAAATATCATTTTTCAAAAACTGAAATTTTTTGAAAAATTAAAATTTTGAGTCTCAATATCTTTGTTGGGACAAAGTTTAAAAATCTGAAATTGTTACCAAAAACCCCTCTTATGGTTGTTATACTGCTGTATGAATTTCATCTTTGAGATTTACTTTTAAGCTAAGTTACAGTATCATGAAAATCGCAAAAACCCCATAAGCTTGGGCAACGCGGCTAGTACTGTAGGTAGCTTAAAAATTAATTTATAGGTGTAGGTAATTATTTTAATTACCTACTGAATTGATAGAGGTATCTAGGATAAAATTATTATTTATTTAAAAAATGGTCAAGCAACCAATTATTTTATTTCTGGATCACTTGATATGGATTGACCCCACTACTAATGTTTTTTATTCCTTGGTTTTCTGAAAAATATGTTTTCTGATATTTGTAAATAATGTAGCCTATATAATTTAGTTAAGTGTGTTCATGTTATTTAATGACGTCATCAATCCCCCATGGGGTAAAAGATGAATAACCGGTAATAAGGTTTCAAACACTTTGGCCAGCAATGTCCTTAGTTTATCTTTATCGTCTGTTTCATTGTTCCCAGTCTTTCAATTCACGTCTGGTGACCAGTCCGAAGATATCCTTGTTCACTACCAAAGCCTAACAGACAGAGAGTGTTTTGTTGATTTTATATTCGGTTATTCATAATTTTTGGTGAGATGTGACAAGCGATGCAACTTTTTATATTTTCACGTACCTTTCAATATTGTCAATGTAGCACGAATATTGAACATACACGGTATGGACTAGTAAATATAAAATATAAACAAATTACGTCACTGGCCCGAATGTCTATAGGCTGATAATGGTACCTAACAACTGGTTTGGATGTTTTTTTACACTTCCATTTAAATAATAATAAAAACATGTTTACTTTCGGGCCAGTGACATCATTTAGGCCTAGTGTATGTTTAAGTTTATGATCCATAGCCTACAGTTTCTGTTATAATATTTTTGCTATGCACTAGGTATACAATTTCAATGCTAGCCTATTAATCCACTATTGTAGTGGGGGCCGCCAGCTAAAATCTCATCTTTTTTACTCATTACCATACCGTATGGCAACCCTAAATCGTAGTCATCCTATACTGACACAGGGTGTGTAAAACTACAGTCGGAGTCACTGTAACTTATGGCTTTAAAAAGATTGGTCTATTGTGAGCTTTACGTTAATTGGGGATGAACTAAACTAAGTAACTTATTATGTCAAGGTTCCAGATTGAGTCACCCTTATGTGAGCCTAGCTCTTGTCGCATGTTAAGGGACGCAACGTGACAAAGGAAAAATCAAACTCAAACTGTAACTGTAACGGATATACCTCCCTTTGAAGTTACAGTACAGCGTGTCTTCCCAACAAACAGATATTTTTTCTCAAATTAAATCATGGATTAATCTGTGCATTACACTGATGAAATCATGGAAGTTTTTAACTGCAAAAGATACACCAATACGATTGTAATACTATATAAAGGTTCTTCCAAAGAAAGAGATACCAGATAACATACTAATAATAACTCCGATGACGTAAGGTATGGGAAATATTTTATTCGTTCAATGATCAAACATATTTGGTAACTACGCAATAATTTTGCATTATTGAATTTACACTTAATACTCTTTAAACAATGCTAAATGCTCAAAATATGTATAATTTATCGAACTTAGATGAAATAGCGTACGCCTTGAAAGTAACCGTCGATTTCGACGGGTTTCACCTAGTTTTACGTTAATATATGCTATTAACTATTTATTTGTTTCAGGCAGCAAATTTCACAATCAATGAGAACAGTTTCTTAAGGAAAGGTGTTTCACAGTTATTCAATAAGAAAACTAAGATCTTCAATTTTACCGTCTATTTGACAGTTGTTCATAAAAGGTAAAGAGTAAAAATATCTAAACCGTGATACTGTCGTCCAATACTGCAGAGCGACATAATTAGGCTTAGTAAATATGGTTACGTGAAATCTTTTATCAATAATCAGCAAATTATAAGGCTAAGGAAACTTAAATGAAGCAAATTTTATCTCTTAAAATCCTTTGGTTTTCAACCGTATTATTGTTTAATCTATTATTTTTTAAACAAATTAAACAAAATAGAGCCAACACATTGTGGAAGAGAGAATTTTATATAAATTAAATTTCAATTGATTGTAGGAACTATTGATTGATCTCAGACATAATATAAAAATAAAAATGTTATGTTAGCCTATGATAATAAAAAGTTACTCTCTGAATTTAAAAAATGATTAAAGAAAATGAGAGCAGCAAAACATACAATTAAATTTCTTACTGAAACATCGTTTATAGTATCGTTAATTTGTGCTTAATTTTATGCTGAATGTGAATATGTATGGGTTATGTTATAGTTGCTGGACTTTCCGGGAAAAACTACTCCCGTTTTTAAGTTTGTCGTGTTATTAACTTATTTATCATATTTAAGTTTAATGCAAAAAATTGTATTTTAACGTTACGTCCTAGATCTATCACCCAATATTAAATTTTTTTGTCCTAGGACGCTATAGGCACGAGCCCAGGATTGTTTTTCACATTACTTCAGGCTAGACCTAAGGGGTACGGCATTAACACTTTAAAAAAATCCATTGACTTGGCGGGATTTGAACCCAGAACCTCAGGGAATGAAGTTCCGCGCTCTAACCACTACACCGGCTCGCTCCTCACCCAATATTCTATTGGGGACAGGAAAGTGATTTTAACATAAGTTGTGTTAAAAGGGTTTCTTTATTCAAAACTTTATCTTTTTTTAGGAAATTATGACTCATCCGATGTCGTTGGAGCTTATAAAGCGTCTCAGCACGTGGCCGGAACTGCAAAAGTCAGTAATGTGAGTACAGTAGGCTTATTGTGGTGTTTACTTTAACTGGCCTAAACATAGAAATATAACAAAGATTACAAATAAATTGTCTAAACGCTTCTTTTGTTCAAAACTCTTTTCAAATAAAGAGTACCCAGTACCAACAAGTTTGGTTCAAAACCATGGTACAGCAGCGAGACCAATGATTGTGATTGTTAAATTCTCCATTTTGAATTACACAATACATATTTATATAGGTTCATTTTTAGAAGTAGCCTATACTGTTATCAAATCGATACATGTTATTTATATTAGGGTATAAACTTTTACTACTAACATGAGTAATGAGTTTTACAAGCAATCTTCAAATAAATGTTGAATATGTACCGATATTGAACAATTAAAATTAAATAAGAATTAAATTAAATTAAATTACAATTATTATTATGTCAAAATTGTACTATAACTTATTATATTAAAGTGTTTTGGATTAACTGACAAATTAAATGTTTAGAAAAAATACCAGCTGTTGGCTAGCTAGTGAGGTTTCACTGTCAGGACTTGATTTTTCACATGTACACTGTACAGTTGGTTTACACAGAATAGGAAATTTAGACTTCTATGTAGCCTACGTAAAAACAAACTTTACATTTTATTTTATTATTTTTTACAGGAAAAATAGCCTAGCCTTGTTAGAGGGTGCAGCTGAACAAACAAATTCAGAAGTAAGTGAATGTTATGATTATGTTTTACTGTATTTAACTGCCATTGCTAACATATTTGTATTATAGTTAAATGTATAACTAAAGTTTTCAGTTGGTGGTAAAGATTATTGCTACCTATTTTTTTTACCTTATTACTGTAAAACGGTTAAAATCTCCACACATTTTATAATTTAAAAAAAAGTTTGTATTTACGGTACTTGTTTTTTATCAGACATTTTAAATACTTTTATTTATTTTAATAGTGCCATTCACTTTTGTATACTAAAGTCGACATCCCTTCTAGATGGACCAGGTGTCGCCGACTTTCATTAAAAAATACCATAGTTGAATAAGCCAGTCTTAGAGCAAGCTTGTGGCCAAAATTATATTTTATGCTTTGTATCATGTTACTGGGATAGCCTAGTTGACGTGCTCTACAGAATGCTATAGTTACAATAATCCTACCAGTTTGACTTGATTAAACAGTTAGACGGAAATCAGTAATTTACATCAGCGCAATCTGTCGTTGGCTCAATTCATCTACATCCATTTTGAAAAAATGGCGACAACTTTATAAGAATTAATGTCAAGTTGTAACAATAGTCAAAGTTAGTACGTTTAACCCAGGTACACATTAAGCCACTATTGTCTACCATCCGTTTGTACACAGGACACAAATGAAGACCTCGACGATATGGAAGAAAATCCCGCGTTGGAAGGCCACTTTCTCACCGAGCGCTCGCCGGATGTCTCGGCGCTCGACAGTTGCATCTGCAAGTGCCATAGAGCACAGACGACGTTGCGTAAACTCTCTCTTCCGTTCAACTGCAGCAAGTGTAATCAGCAGTTCTGCTGCAAATGTCAGTTTGAAGTCCATCGAGAGTCCCATCGCGGCCAGCGCAAACACCAGTGTGCTACCTGCGGGAAGACGTACAACTACAAGAGTGATTTGGGGCGACACGAATTGGTACACGCTCAGGTCAAACCACATGTTTGTAAGGTGAGTGATTTTTAAAATGCTATAATTAATGCGCGTTTGTAAATTCCGTTAAAATGTTAGGTGAATGTTGATGGAAAATACCAAAATGCACTATTTTGGTCTTTACGTTCTCTCTCGCAAATACTCCCGACATTGGGGGTGAGTCATGAAATGTCAGGGTTGGGGAAGAGTTAGTTCTATACGTCCCATCACAGAAGTTAAAACAATCCAAGATACCGTGTCATATATTTGTAAACTATTGAAAGGATTCCCATTTTCAAGAACAATGAATAATGTATGTTTACCTGTTGGTTGCCAGGTTCTTCAAGTGATATTAAGCTTGATGCATATTTCCACACCAAGTGTGGCATCATCAGGAGCACAGTTCATTTATTTAAAACATATTTTATTTACATCACTGTTCACACTAAATTATATTAACGTGAAATGAATAAAAACACATACCTTACATATACATATGTAAAAATTAACAGCAAATAAAAACAACACAATTGGTGACAAATGGAGCTGCACTCCGGAAATCCACTGAACGAGAGGTGACTCACAGAGCTGGGCTCCGTAATCGGAGTATCAACTGAATAATAGAGGTTGTACGGAGGAGATGTGAGAGCAAAATGAGGTTCAATCGGTTCCTAGAAAGATCCTTGTGAGGTACTGTTACTCTTAAAACTGCCAGACACATATTTTTATATTAAACAACAAATGTGCTCAGAGGAAAACTGTAGTAATGTTTTAATTAGAGAAACTTTTATCACCAGTTGCACAAGTAACCAAAAGTTGTAATTTGTTATTTGTATTTATTTTAGGTTTGCAACCGATCTTTCAACCAAGTAGGCCACCTAATCACGCATCGGCTCACTCACACAGGGGAGAAACCGTTCACCTGCGAAGTTTGCAACAAATCGTTCAGCCGCAAGTCTAACCTGCACAAGCACATGTCGGTCCATACTGGGGAACGCCCGTTCCAATGTACCACTTGTGATTCTAGGTACGTAACTTACCGTGCTCGTTTTTTTCTAAATTTACAGTAAAATTACTTGATTTTTAAGTTTTGGTCTCGGATAAGAATCATATTGTCTAGATTTAATAAATAGGATGGAGAGGACACAGCTAACTCACCTGATGAAAGGTTGCAGACGAGTCAAAGAACACATAAAACACACACATAATAATACTTGATATTTCGCCTCTTTCAGAGGCTTCTTCAGAAGTAGGCCTAGATGGCAGTTACAAGAACAACAGTTTAAAATAGGATGACACAGTTTGAATTCAAAATGACAGGTTGTCCAACTGACACATTATTTAATCCAAGCTAAATGCTTTTTCCTAAATACATTGTCTAGATTGAAGGCAGTTATTTCTAAGGCCTTATTCTTTAAAGGCAGTTAAGAAATCTGAGTTAGGAGATAAATGTGAGGTTAAATGGGAAAATTAGTGAGTCGGTGGCTCAGTCAGTCGCATAGCGTCGCGGACCTCGGACACAAGGCAGCGATGTCGTGGGTTCGGATCCTGATCACCAGTGTTGGGAAGTAGCGCGCTACAAGTAGCGACGCTACAGTAGCGCGCTACTTTTTTTGTAGCGTTAGCTGTAGCTACGCTACTTTTAAGATTTTGTAGCTTTAGCTGTAGCTAGCTACATTTTTAAAGTAGTTGTAGCGGAATTTTAACTACTTTTCTCGCTACATTAACATTGATGAGATAGTGATTTTTATCATAACCTCAACATTACGTGAAACAACCTCTTTCAAACTGAGATTTTCAAAAAAATTGGGCATACTTTCTTGGCTTTATACAGCTGTTTGCAGCCGTTTCATTCCCTATTACAACGTTGTGTGGACATGGAGGCCATTAAATGAGTGTTATCCACATTTTTGGCTCTCATTTCCTTAATTTACTACTCTATGATTACTGTCAGAAAAATAAAATCGCTAGATGCAGAGGACGTTTAAACGTTACCGGTGACAAGAGAAGCTATTGAATGCTTGTAAGTGATTGACAGGGAAATTAGTAATCAATTTAGTTTCTTTATTAAATCGATAGTGTTTCAACTTGGTTTTTAATGGAAACTAACACTAAACCTTAAAATAATGAGAAAGCTGGTCTATCAACCTTTGCTTCAGCTGTTGATTGTGGTTCATCAGCACAAGCCCTTCCTTGGTTAGATTACGAAGATTTTTCAAAGGTTTACAAAATTAACAAAGAGGAAATTACCTGATGAGATTTAAGATATGGCTATTCTACATGATAATAGTAACGAAAAAATCTCCATATAACATGAAACTTACATTGAAAAAAAAGCATAGTTTGCTCCTGCTAACAGCTCTTGTATAGGACTATTACTAGGCTATGCTATGGTTTAAGACGAATACCAAGTTCAATTATTAGGAATATATCTGTTTAGCCAAGTAGGCCCACATGTTATTTTTACTTTACAAATTTCAACATGTTTAAATTAAAAGCCGATTTCAGGTCTTCAGGATAAGTTGCTGAATACTGTTTTCTGTGGTTGAATACCTGAATACTAACTAGGTTGAAGCACAATTTGCCCTATGCATAATGCCAATAAAGGATGATTTCTTGACATTGAAAAGTGTTATTCATAGATCAAGTAACTTATCATTATGGTTAAAAGTTATGGCAATGTCATTTTTAACATTAAAAGTAAAGAAAGGCAATAAACTCCAATTTCACTAGGCTAGGCTCTGTAACACGAAAAAGTATTTTTAAATAATCGTTTTACAGTTTTATTGGTCTTAATTGTTTATATAAGACATCTATAAATGAATCTATATTAAAGAAATAAAATGAGCTTTTAAAATATAGTTTGGTTGTATGTCCTTTGAACTTAATGAGATTTACAAGAAAGATGCTTAAAAATAATGCAATATTTAAAAATAAGTACAGTACTAAATATGATGGGACACCGAACTATTTGGTTCTGTTGTTGTAATGTTAGGTTTATAGTGCCAACAAATTAAATACAATCTAGGAATAATTTGTTTTCCCCCAAAGCAGAACAACGAGCGACGCTGCGACATTGTCGCGGACACGAAACACCGAGAAACGCGGGCCTGCGGACACATTTACGGAGTCATAACGACGATCGCGCCGTGGCCGCGATTATTGGACCGACGATCGCGCCGTGACCGCGGAGTCCTACCGACGATCGCGCCGTTACCGCGGAGTCATACTGACGATCATGCCATGATGGCGAGTCATACCGACGATCACGACGTGACCGCGGAGTCCTACCGACGATCGCGCCGTGACCGCGAGTCATACCGACGATCGCGCCGTGACCGCGGAGTCCTACCGACGATCGCGCCGTGACGCAGAGTCCTACCGACGATCGCGCCGTGACCGCGGAGTCATACTGACGATCATGCCGTGATGGCGGAGTCATGCTGACGATCGAGCCGTGACCGCGAGTCATACCGATGATCGCGCCGTGACCGCGAGTCATGACGACGATCGCACTGTGACCGTGGAGTCATACCGACGATAACCCCGTGACCGCGGAGTCCTACCGACGATCGCGCCGTGACCGCAGAGTCCTACCGACGATCGCGCCGTGACCGTGGAGTCATAGCGACGATAACCCCGTGACCGCGGAGTCCTACCGACGATCGCGCCGTGACCGCGATTATTGGACAGACGATCGCGCCGTGACCGCGGAGTCCTACCGACGATCGCGCCGTTACCGCGGAGTCATACTGACGATCATGCCATGATGGCGAGTCATACCGACGATCGCGCCGTGACCGCAGAGTCCTACCGACGATCGCGCCGTGACCGTGGAGTCATACCGACGATAACCCCGTGACCGCGGAGTCCTACCGACGATCGCGCCGTGACCGCAGAGTCCTACCGACGATCGCGCCGTGACCGCGGAGTCATACTGACGATCATGCCGTGATGGCGGAGTCATGCTGACGATCGAGCCGTGACCGCGAGTCATACCGACGATCGCGCCGTGACCGCGAGTCATACCGACGATCGCGCCGTGACCGTGGAGTCATACCGACGATAACCCCGTGACCGCGGAGTCATACCGACGATCGCGCCGTGACCGCGAGTCATGACGACGATCGCGCCGTGACCGTGAGTTCTACAGACGATCACCCCGTGACCCGCGAGTCACAAGTTTCTATAGGTACCTGTAAATTGTTACCCATTTTTTGGTTTTTATAGATCAGTGCCACAAATGGTAAAAATTGATTTCGTATGTCTTTTTTGGTAACTGCAATACAGTACTTTTTTTATGCACAGAAAAAAATTCTGTCCCATCCCGTCCCGAAAATCGGGAAGGAAATAAAAATCCCGTCCCATCCCGTCCCGAACTAAAATTTCAATCCCGTCCATCCCTAGTGTGTTTATATAAAGAAACTATAGTACATTAAAAGTTTTACTTCTGAAGACCTTGTTAACACTTGTTAAGGTATGTGTATATATATATATACGTATTTAAAAAAAAGTAAATTTAAATAACCTGATTATGCCTACCCCTTAATAGTTTTTTAGTTTTTTGTTTTAAAAGTAGGCTATACAAGTTATTGAAATTTACTTATTTTATTTAACTATATTACTAGTAGCCCTAAAGAATGAATATATATATATACCGGTATATAAGTCATTATTTAGCTTTTTAGTTTTAGCGCTTGCGGACACATTTTGAGGTTTTCACAGGCCGTTGCAGACACGTAGGAACCATTCTGCTTTGGGGTTGTTTTCCAAGTAATGTTAGATAAAATACTGGCATTTTTTAATGTTTGTTCAATAAAAATGTAGTTGCAATTAATTTTACATTTACCTAATGTGCAAAGGAATAAAAAGTATCGTCTTTGGAAAAGTAGCTAAAATTGTAGCTGTAGCTACATTTCATTGTAGCTGTAGTTGTAGCTAGCTACTTTTTCAGAACTGTAGCTGTAGCTGTAGCTAAGCTACTTTTTTTGAAATGTAGCAGTAGTTGTAGCTAGCTACATTTTAAAAGTAGCTTCCCCAACACTGCTGATCACTGCCGCAAACATTTTATCAGTACAGTTCACCTTTGTACTGTACCGGCTCACCCCTTGCTTTACTAGATACTTTCTACACACAGATCTGTAGTCTATGTAAACGGTCAAATGCAAGGTTAAAAGAAGAGAAAAAACCTTGTATGTATTTAACGGTGCATCGGCTGATCCTTTATTACTACCGCTTGACTTATTTCACACTAAAGGGGACTAGGGGGCTCAAAAGCAAAAAGTAATTGATTTAATATTAGAAATACAATTAATACAACAAAAAATCTGGTTTCTCTTAGAATATCTGTTAACTGCATACCAAATGTGTTGACCGATTTCATTGTGTAAAGTTTGTTATCAAATGAAAAGGGAATTTAGATAAACCGCAATATTGCATTGTTTTATATTTATTTATTTACAAAATTTAAGTAATGTACCAGCCAATGTTCGATAAACAATATTCGTCTTAGCTAACGATCCAATTCTTGGTTCGCCAAAGGCTGTCCGCAATAATCCTTGAAACACTCAAATACTTGAAATAACAGACAATATTTCCTCTAGATTCAGTCGCAAGGGGGATCTTCAGCGGCATTCGATGCTCCACACAGGCGAACGTCCGTACAAGTGCGACTTTTGTGACAAGACGTTCAGTCAAAAGCCGCACCTCACGAGCCACTCAGCTGTTCACACGGGTGAGCGACCCTACAAGTGTCTGGCTTGTGGACGATCCTTCATCCGCAAGAACCTGCTGTTGAAACACCAGGAGGAGGACTGTGCAGACTTCGCAACCACGAGCGATTTTACCACTCTGTCTTCAAACTCGTTTTTCAACTTAAACCATCTACTGGCGGGAGACGACGAGACCGAAAGCACCGTGGAAAAGTCTTTTTTCAACGTTTCTGTGAGCGAGAAATGTAAATCGGTTAAGTCGGATCGCAAGATGTCAAGATCAAGATTGATCAAGAATAAGAATTTAGCTCATAGTGAAGTGGATGCAGAAAATTCCAAAAGTGAAACCGAGTCTGAAGTAAAAGTTGAAAATATAGAAAGTATGGAACAAGATGAAGATTCGTCTGAAATAAACGAGAAAGACGAAGCAAAACTTCCGATTAAAGTTTTTAAGAAGATTGTGGATGTTTAATATATCTGTTATTCTTAAAACCAGCTTGTTAGATTAGTTTATAGTGAATGTTGTAGTTAATGTCACTTCATTGAATTGTAATCGAGAAATTGCATCAAAACAGTAGTTTTCTTAAAATGAATTTAAATAGTCATGCTTAAAAACATGACTATAACGTTTTACTTTAGACAATTATGTTTCTTGTTGTATTATCAATTTAATTTGAATCACACGCTTAATTGATTGTTGAGATGTGGTATTTTTATTTCTTTTGTACAAGTTATTTCAACATATACTGTTAAGTAAGGTTACTAATTAATCCATGTTACACATTTATTGAGTCCTTTTTAAGTGTTATTTTTTGTTTTGTAAATATTTATGTGAACACAAAAATTAGTCTCACGACAATAAACATACTGTTTGATTCCTGATGATTACTAATTTTACTTTGGAGAATGGTGCTTTGAAAACACACTTATCTCTTATCAAATATGTCATAGCACTCACTAATGCACTGCTCTATTTAGTTACCATCTTAGTAACTTTTACAATCAGTAGATTATGTTTTAGAATAGAAAACAGAGAATCTTTCCTAGTTTTAAGTTCATATAATTATTCTACAGAACTTTTTTTATTAACTGTAGTTAGGCCTACGAATTAAATGTAGCATAAATGTTGTAGGGAATTAAATGTATGCTTTATTACATATATGTTCCTTCTCTGTATATTCTTTATTACTTATAGTATTACATATTGGAGAAAGTATTATTGATGTCAAAATGTCCGAGGTTGAGTTTTTGGTAGAAATATCCGTTTTGGATCCCTATGAACCCAAAAAAGTGGTTTTAAAAGTGAGTGGATGTATACAGAGTTACAGACACCTGTGGTCCGATTTTGATTACATTTAGTATGTGGGCGTTAATCCATGGTATCTCCAGGTATTTATTCAATTTAAATTTTAAATATGGATTTTTCCTTAGAAACACATTAAATAACAGAGAAATAGGATTTGTACAAAAACAGCTCACACAATTTAAGTTCTAATTTAATATGTTATGACTCTATCAACTCTAAGCAAAATGGTACAACCCATGCTGTAAAAATTACGATTCAAAATATATTGCTTTTGTTATTTTCCACATAAAATATCATAGTCACTCCCATTGCCCATGATAAGGGTTGTTGACAAGCTAATGGGAGAAAGTATTCGTCAGATTGCTGAAACCGTTTATTATATTTCTATTATTTCACTGAACATCGATTTGATTTGGGGTTTCAGGAATTACTTCCGATAGTTTTATGTCTACTGTATTTTCAACGAGTTGGCTGGTTTTGATATTTATTTTATTTTTTGAATGGTATCTGGGCTCAGAAACTTGGAATGGATCCAGCGACTTTCAGATTGAAGGCGAGCACTGTAACCATTCTGCTACCAAGACAATGTTAAATAGACTAACTTATTACAGGAACAATATATAATAAATTAGTGTTTATTCATGACCAAAAATTCAGTATTGCATTATTACTAAGCTGATTCTTTTAGTTACCGTAGCTTTTATAAGAACTATTGTTTGTTAAGTTTAGACCAATGTGATGGACGTTTTGTTAATTTGACTGTTGTAGGCTGTATTAAGGAAATAAATAACATTACTTTCTACAAAACTTCTTTATCAAGTCCTTTCTATCCAGGATTAATTTGTACAACCATTTGAACAAAAAAGACAACTAAAATAAGATTGAAGGTAGCAAAATTGTGTATAAAAAGTAGCAGCCTTAGAGATGAAAATTAAATGTCAAATGTTGTGAACATTGAATGTTGATAATCTACCAGCAATACTTTAAATTTTTAATTTTATCTAATTACAATAACATTTATAAATCAAAATTTATATTTTACTGAAGGAAAATATTAATTAAGAGTCGGTAGGAGTAAATTGATGTTGACCGTCAGCCGTCAGGTAGTGCAGAATTGTTTCACATTGAAAACCGTTACAAAGTAAGTTGGTAACTATTACTGGCCCTTTGAAAGCGCTCGCTTGAAATAAAACAAAGGTTAGGGGTTGTATCCCAACAGCCTGGTATACTTACCATCAGTATCTACACTAGGTCATAAGCCTAAAAGTTACACCTAAATCGTAAAAATGTGTAGTAGGGTTGGAAAAGTATGTAAATTTAAAAGAATGAAAAACAACACTAGAAATCTGATTTAATAATTAGCTTGGGTCTGTTACAAGCAAGTTTCCATTTCCACACAAATCTTGGGGACAGGTTGACTCTTGCGAGTCTGCGAATGATCCATGGTGACTCGCAGTTCCGTCCACGGCCAATGACTCTGGGTAGTCACTGTAGTGCTGCCCTCATCTGGAGATATTGTCACCACCAAGTCTCGTCCGGGCTGAACAAAAACTACTTTAGATTAAGTTTTCATACCCTGGAGCTTAGGTAGGACTAAAAAAGAATTATATTGTATTCCAGAGATAACCCAATGAAAAGGCAAGGTGTAAAGGATTTTCAAGTGTCATTTTGTGTGATCATGCAATAAAGTGCCATATTTTCTAATGTCATGCTGTAGTTTCTAAATGGGAAGACTTGAAGACAAAATTTTAAAAGTAAATAATCTTTTACAATAAATGCTTAAAATCATAAAATACAAAGTGCTTTTTAAAGCTGGGTTTTCCTAGGCGCAGAAGCGTAATGTGGATTGTGGAGTCCGCTGTCCTCCTCTGAGATTATGTAATGGTACTACTGTACTCATAGAAGTGGAGCGGCCCACCATTGAAATCGCTTCTCCACACTGTGTTCCACTACCATGCCTTGGAAAACCTGGCTTAAGAAATTTTAATGTTAACTACTCCATAAAAAAATGGAGGTCGTTTAAATAGTTAAGTTGGAGACCAATAGGAATTGCTATTATTAAAAAGTAATTCAACCACATAGTTAACCAATCCCAAACCTTGTTCCACTTGATTTTTGTTTCTTCAGGAGGTTTGAGAGGCGCCGTCTCTGAAACGGACGATCTATACGCACTTCGAGGACCACTAGTGCTTCTGACGCTGTCTTGGCGGGTTCTGAAAGTTCCATAAATGAAAAAACTGAAGGCCTATAATTAGGTTGTGACTAGAAAAGTATAAACTTTACTCCAAGGGACTTCTCATGTCAGAAGTTTAAGTGGTTCTATAGATTTTAAATTTTTAGATGAACTTCCTTCTAAAACATCGTGGGGCAAGTTTCATACACAGTGTCTTTGCTACTAAGATATCCACCTGAATTTAACAAGAATGCTTGATTTCAGGTATAACATAAAAAGGTGTACAGTAGACTCACTCTTATCCGGACACCTTTTAACTGGACATTGGTTTTACCGGACTACACTCGGCGGAAATTACATCTCTTTAACCGGACAATTTTTATCAGGGCCGGCAAGAGCCGTCACGGGCCCCTGGGCTGAGCTATCCCGGGCCCCCTATTTTCCTGATTTAATGTCCAGCCACGTCCGTGCCACTTTGTTACACATATAACATATATACGTTTTAAATACATATCTAAAATGCATGTTAGTTTCATTAATTCTCGTGCTCACAGTTGCAACTTTGCTTCAGTCAAAAATTACTAAATAAACGGGACAACCATGCTAAAATGTTGTCTTTAGCAGATTACGTGTACAAAAAAGATTAACATTTTACTGGGCCGGGCCCCTTCACAACCCAAGGCCCCGGGGCTCTGGTCCCACCTGCCCCCCCCCCCCTCTAGCCGGCCCTGATTTTTATCAGCACATTTAGATCAACAAGAAGTGGGCAATACTGAAACTACTGTTCTTGTGGTAAAGATTTGAGACCAGTGATCACATGTCTTAATACAATAAATGCTCTCCTAAATTTAAGTAGAATATCACAGTAAACAGTCCGTTTTAACAAGTTTTTGGGGGCGTCGTGAAAACCCATTATCCGGACTAGCCTCGGTCCGGATAAGAGGGAGTCTACTGTATATTCAATGACTTGTTCAAGAACTTGGATTAATATTCAGCTTAAAATATGCAACAGTGCTACTGTGTTAACTCTAATATGCGTTGCTGTCTCTAAGAATTTATAGATAATCTTCTCTGTATAAGATATCAGATTTTACTAAGACATACCTCAAACTTTAAACATATTTTTATAACAAAATATACAGAAAAACCTGTTACACATTTTTACATTTCAAGCTAGTGTTTTATCCACTAATCATATACAAACCTGCCGCAGAATGTCCGCCGGAAGCCGTCTCTGTATTTGCCAGACATTAGGTTATACAGCAAAGGATTAGCTGTTGATGAAAGGTAGTAGAAACATCCGGCTACGTAGTAGAGCCACTCGTTGATCTGGTAGTAGTAGTCACTGTCTCTACCGTAGCGGTAGTGGAGTCTCTGGGCATGGTATGGGGCCCAGCATAGGAAGAAGGTTATCACGACTGCAACTAGAGTGAAGAAAAATTATGGGTTCCTGATTCTGGATTAGTGATTCGTCTGAAAACGCTCGCTTTACAAGAAGAAGGTCCTGTGGCGGTTTAAGGGGGGCTATAGGGGATAAAGCCCCCCCCCATTGGACCCTAAAAAATAAATGTAGGCCTAAACATGTATTTTTTATACAATAATTATTATAGATGTTAAAATGGTTTTAAGAAGAAGCTGGATGAAGAGCTAGTTATCGTGGATGAAAAACAGCTGATTGTAGACCAATTTTTTCCTGACCCACCTTTAGCCCAGAACTGTTTTACACATTACTTCAAGCTAGTCCTAGAGGGTTGCCGCATCAATTGTATAAAATACATTGGTGATTGATCGGATTTGAACCTGGGACCTTGAGCACCGAATCCCTGCGCTCTACCACTAGACCAAAACTCTCCCTGATTGAGGACAGTAAGATACACAAGACTTCTCAATCCAACACTCAACTGATGATTATTTTAAATGTTTCACAGAGTTTCGTAAATAATGTTTTGTTAGTTTTTACACTATTTGTAAACCTTGACTATCGCCTGTTTACACAGCGATGCTTGTAATCTTTTTTAGACAAAATATTGACTATAGTAAAACTAGTTTTAAGACGTAACACGACAGCCTGGCCTAGAAATGAGTCAAAACTTTCCCAATTGCAACATTACGGACTGTATGAATGCAGGTAGGCTAAATACATACAATTTTAAAATAAATTAAATTTTTAAAGAAATTTGTATCTTTAATCGAAACATTACCCAACATCCTGATAATCGACTTCCTCGACTGAGATGTTTTTGTCTCCCCATGCACTGACCCGTTCACTCCCTTGTCCAACGACCCAGATCGGATCTGCAGCCCGATCTTAGTGTACAAGACGCCGATGATGCACAACGGCAGGAGGAAGAACACAATGAAGCTGAGCTCGTAGATTGGCAAGTTATCTGGAATGTTCTCGTCCAACATCCCGCAAAACGCAGACTCCTCTACGATGTTGTTTGTTTCTGGCGGAAACGTGATGTAGTTCACCTGGAAAACGATGGACTTACAAGATAGAAGTGAAACAAATTATGATTTGCATTATTGTAGAAAGTAAAGAATCAATTTTGATGGTTGAATTTATTAAAATCTGTCACAGTGTCTTTTAAATATTAGTTGGACACCTTTCTGGATACAGCAAAGATTCCATTGCATAGAATGACATCTAGACCTAAGCACGGTATTACTAAATAGTGATATCAACAACCTATCTATACACAAATAAGGACATCTGATAGAAAAATTATTAATCCTATTTTGATATTTTAAAATATCCAGTAATGATTTATTTCATGTACTTCTATCTGCTTTTCATTTTCATAATTATTTTCCCTATATCTTCTTATTATACTTTCCTACAACATTCTCACTTCAAGTGACAATTCCCTTAACTGTTCTTAGTAACTCTTAACTGTTCGCCTTAACTCAAGGCGTTTCTTAGCAAAAAATATCCTGAAACGACTGAATTGCTATTTCTAGGACTTCCTGCACTTATCTTCATCACTGCGATAACAATTAATGTTTCTATCTGCCTAGCTTCAAATCCTGGGATACTAGGATCTAGCCCGGAACCGTTTACACATTACTTCAGACTAGACGTAGAGGGTCGTGACATCATCATATGGATACAATGGTAATTGATGGGATTTGAACCCACGACCTCAGCAGTAAAGCCCTGCGCTCTACGACTAGACCATCTTACTCCCAGCACTGCTTTGCCCGTGTGATTTATAAATTTAAGGCTATTTACCTAACTGTCTTTATGTTTCGAGTATTTTATTTGACAAAAAATCACCTTCGTAAACAAAGCGAAGGGTAGAGCGCTGATGAACGACAGTCCCCAGACAACAGTTACGATCCGCACGGCTCGTCTCAGCCCTGTCATGGTGTAGGAGAGTAATGGATGACAGATGGCGAGGTAACGTTCAGTTGTAAACGCAACTATTGTCAGCACTGACGTGTAGGACGTCCTGAAAAGACGTATACGGATAAGTAAAAAATATTGTGGAAAAGATTTGTCAAACAAAATTGACTTTTGCCAAACGGAACATTTTAAATAATTTTTAGGATTTTATTTACAAGTGAGTGGAATGTATCAAATAATATTCCAACATTAGCGACGCTGATAGAATTTATCTTGTAAAACTTAGACAAATTGTAGGGCCTATGAAAAGAAAGAAGATAAAAACAGAAAAGTTCAAAATTATTTAAAACAGTATTTTATTGTGAATAGAAAATGTTGTTGTGTGATGACAATACCATGATAAAACTCGGAAAGCAACGATAAACAAAGAGAAAACAGAATCAACATATCTAATTCACTCTAAAACTTGTGAAATTCGACATGTCATACTTTTTGTAAGAAGAATACCTACATTTCGGAGATGAGGGCTCTTAGTTTGCAGAATGGTTCTCCCAAAGTCCAAGGATACTGCTGCCAGAATGCACTTAAGTCATTTGGTAAACCTGCAAACAATTCAACTGTATTATCAAACAATTTGGCAAACAATTCAAATGTCTCTATTATACCGTTCGGAAGACTTCCAAAAAATCGGTTTCAAATGGTTTTTACTAAAATCAGGTTATGGCTTGGTAAAAATCTGTAGACACAAAATTTATCACATGTTTGGTAAAGAATTTCCGTATATTTTTATCCAAGGTATAAATAGAAGTGGCAAAATATAAATAAAAGATTTAAAACTATACTTCTCTTGGTTTCATTCAAATCCAAAAGAAAATTGACTCTTAACATACTTTAAATACTCATTATTAAAATAATGTTTACATTAAATCTTGGGCAAAATGACACTTTTGAAACAACAAAATGAAACAAAACGACTTGTCAAAATGGAAATGTAACTCTTTTACTTGGATAAGTAACTCTACATTGCTTGAAGTTAGAGAACAAGGATTTTGAAGCTCAAGTTTCATTAAGTAAAGATATCTGCATAAAAAAGTAAGAATACTGAACAATTTGATTCAGTGATTTGATACTGATCAACAATTAGATTTGATTTGATTACTTTGAAATACGTACATTTTTTACCAAGGGTCACTTGAAAGAAAATGTAATTGGCCTAAAGAGATTTTAGTTCAGTGTACCTCTAACTGGAAATTTATGTTTCCTCTTACTATACTGTACATGAAAAATTCCAAATTAAAATAAAATTTACCAAGCAATAGAAGAGTGACATCCGACACTGCTAGGCTGAAAAGATAGTAATTTGTAGCTGTGTGTAGACTAGTGTTGAAGATAATGACGACGCACGTCGCGATGTTTCCGACGACTCCAGAGAGGAAGATGAAGGCGTAGACGATGGTTATCGGCACTACGACGGACAACGGGAGATGCTTTGGTCCTCGGTTCTGCAGTAGATAATGTTCCAACGAGATGTTTGTCGAGCCGGTGGGCAACGGATGTTCCAATCCCCAAACCTCATCGTTCGCCCATACTTCATTCATACCACGGAATTTTCAGATAATAATTTGATTCGTGTTAATTTCTACTGTTTCTTTCTCAAAAATTAAGTATGTGTTGAATCAGATTTTTTACAGACACTTTCTATTTTCAATTGAAGTAAAAATAAATTTTACTAATAAAATATTGTTTCAATTCAAATCACTTAATGGCTATTTTACAAAATTCTAACGCCAAAACTTTCCCGGTAAGGTAATAGCCACGTTCAAAATTATAGCTTCTAAAAATAATTACCGTGAACATTTTTCATCGGAGTCTTTTTGGATAGTGTTCAATGACTGAACTTAAATATTAACACGGTGTAGATGTATAAAAGTAACTAAAAGACCTTGTCAAATGCAGTTGACTAATTGATCAAGCAAATAATTAATTAATTGATAAAAGACTTCATCTGTAAGCCTTGGGCTTAGTGGTGATAAGGTGTAAGATTTGGATTGGGATCTTTCAGTTTTAAAAATGCTAAGAAAAACCTTTATCATTTTGTTGAAAACAATAAAATAGTAACAAATTGTTAATGCATTGATGCATCAAAGTACGTTTCTACATTGGTATAATTTATAGTCAATTCAGTTTGTTTATTTTAAAAGAGAATACATCTTTTAAAAGTTTGATCTAAGAATTATTTTTTCAAATCATTCATTGCTATTAGTCAATAAGCTACAAACGTTTTCTTAGGTTTATCCAATGAAACCAGATTAAATACACTTTTCAAAGTAAAAAGATTGTACTTTTAAGTTTGTGGTGACAAGAATGCTCCTACCTGACTGATATACTAGATTAATCTTTTGACATTTGAGGCTTGTCTACTTCAATGAGGCTTCATAATTTAATTCCTATGCTTTAAGGTATAAAGCTTAAACAGACAAATTGGTTTTGTTGTAGTATACCCTAAAATATTCACCACCTTAATTAATTTCAGGGCTTATAAATAAAACACAGACTTCAAATGTTAAAATAATATTGTATTTCCATACCTGTAACTATCATTTAGTTTAAATATTTACTTGTTCCAATATTACACAATCTTGTAAATTTTCTTTCAAGAAGATAATGTTCATGAAGTATCCTAATTTTTGGAATTTGTCGATAATTTTATCAGCTCTCTTTTCATCCACAAAGTAGAAATTCTTCATCATCTCTTGGCATTGGACGATCCAAATAGGCGTATTGGGAAACATTTTTCTCCCTTCAGCAACATACGCCCATCAGAAATTGAAAAGAAACTATTTAAAATAAATTCTCCATTGACGACATTTTGTCTCTTATCTTGGCGACGATATCAGCTGCACCTTTCTCATTAACGTGTTTGAAATTCTTCATTGACGTTTTACAACGAGCTTCCCAAGCTTTGATCAATGGGAATTTGTTTTCCATCGGCAAGTAGGCCTGAAAATTGGTACAGTTTATTTAGATGTACCACTCCATTGCAAAGTAAACTACAAAAATACCAGATTGAAATTTGAATTTCTTACCTGGGTTATATTATTATGGATTATTTATATGTTTAAAGAAATGGGGAGTTCTCACAGTTAAGAAATATAATTATGAAACTAAAAGAAAACATGTCAAATCGCATAGACTTATTGTATTTCAGGAAATAAATATAATGTCTCGGTAAAAATATTATTGATGAAGATACTGACACAGCTATTAATACAGCTACTCTTTGATAAAATTGATTAGAATAAAAGTGATGTTTTAAAATGTAATTTTCTAATATCAAAACAATATACTTATCAGAATCTAGTTAAATTTCCTTGTCTACTATATTACCTTTTAACTTCCACAAAAAATGTTATACTCAAGGGAGAAGAAATTATAAAAATATTTAAAAAGTTATGCACAATTGATGCATCCAACCATCATAAATCAAGATTTTCTTTAATTTGAAATAGATTGACACAGGCCTTAACAAGTTTGGAATTTTACATGTTGGTTGGATCCCCACCCCCAGATGAAAAATATGTGAAATACGAGTTTTTTTAAGTGATGATAGTGAAAAATAATCCTGAAATACTTATAATATTCTGAAGGTACCTCCACCTACTCAAAATACAAGTAAATCCTTGTACAATATCCATTCCAGCTAATCTAAACTGCACCGAACAAGTCAATAGGTTTTTTCACCTTGCAACTATTAAAGCCGAATGCTAAGAATTTATTTAATAAATAAATGAAATAGGTATCTAAGGGAATACTAAAGAGATTAGGTTATGATAGGTTAGGTTATGTAATGCTATTTTAGGTTATATTAGGTTATGCTATGATATGTTAGATTATGTTATGATAGGTTAAGTTGTAGACTTCTCATCCCATTGTAAATTTTGAGACTAGTTTTTCATGTCCGATGACACTGATCGCTAGTGTCAATGAAAATTTGTTTCTATTATTTTATGGTTAATTTAACTATTTGTGCTTTACCTTTTGGTTACATAACTAGGGGACGAGTTATTGTTTATGATTAGATCGTTTTTTGTCAAACGAGGTTTTAAAACACTGAAATAACGAGAAACATATTGTAAACAGAACACGACCTCTACAGTGCACCGGACAGAACTGTCATTAAATTGGCTTCAGCTGTTCCATAAGGATGAGAAATCTACTAAGGCCCGGTTCACACGAGCGACATACCTAGCAGACTAGGCTTGGACTAGGTAAGCACGACTGGGTAGCGGTCCACAGGATCACACCGGTTCACACGAACGACATGTCCATGTACTAGGTAAAAATATCGATATCAAAACCACTCGGTTCCATCACTGGTGCACAATGAGAACAAAGGTAAGAATGCGAGCTGCAGCTCGACTACCCGATCGCTCGTGTGAACGCTCCCATAAGGCTACATGTACTGCTACGCAGTTCGACTGGGCGACTGGGTAGTTGCCAAGACGGACTGGGAAGCGGGGCCCGACTAGGTTTTGGGACATCAAGCTCGAACACGACTAGCTAGTTGGCGTCGTAGGCTCGTGTGAACGGCTCCATTTGATCCTGTGGTCCGCTACCCAGTCGTGCTTACCTAGTGCTTACCTAGTCCAACCCTAGTCTGCTAGGTTTTTCGTTCGTGTGAACCGGGCCTAAGGGAGTATGCTTTATCTATGGTTATACCACTAAAACGATGCCGTTACCTCGAGGATGTCTACTAATGTGATGAAGCTGTAGTCAGCTAGAGTGAGAGAGTCTCCGCCCATGTACTTGTTGCCTTCCAGCAGCTTCTCCAAGTTGATCTGAACCTCCCGTACTTGCTGTATATGTGAGTCAGTCAATACTCTCAGGTTTCCGTACAGTATCTTTCTCTGCAAGACAAAAAACTACTTGAAACCTTAGTTCTACACCTTAGTGTTAGAACCTTAGTTCTTCCAAATTAAATCTTGCAAGCTTCTTAAAATCTGAAACCATTTAACCCTGGGCTGGGGGCAAAGTAGGGATGGAAGAAAAAAATCGGTAAAAATAAAATTTTTCACCTCAAAAGTGCTAAGGAGCAATATATGAGGAATTGAAAGAAACTATCACTGCTTCGAAACAACAACTGATACGCCCATTTAAACTCACACGGTCGAAATGAACGATATATCTTCGCTTAGCGCATTTGAATGAAACACGAAAAACTATCGTACCATAGCCCTTTTTGGAAAGAAGACGCACAACGATATATCGCCGCATAGTACTGAAAGGGTTATAGGACTTCTACTCCAGCAATCCTTGACAACTAAGAACTATTAATCCTAAAGTACTAGCTGACGTTAGTCATTAACAATGTCTTATTCCTTAATCAATACTAATAATGAGAAAAAATGTCAAACATTGAAATACTGTCAAGCTAAAACTTTTGTCCCCAGATTCCATCGAGGTTCTAAATTTTCTACCAATTGTATTTGTTCAAATTCCTTCAAAGAAGCTCCACAATTTTGAAGATTTATCTTACAATGCAGTGTGTCTCTCAGTACTTATACAACAAAACACATGAAACGTCTTAATCAGGACTTACAATGATACTACGGAGAAGGTAAAAGACATCGTTGTGGTAATGCATCCTCTGATCCACGATGGCTCGCTTCTTCTGGTCCTTCGGATAGAGACAATCGTCCTTGGCATACTTGGACACCAAGTATGCCATGATGGCATGGCTGAAGCAGATGTGTCAAAAAATATATACTGTAGCACTGTGGAAAAGTGTTTATTAATAATGAATCAGAAGGTCATCTATGGAAGGAACGTTTCAAAACACAAAGTTCTTTGCCAGTTTAAATTATCTCCTTAAACAATACCTATCTTATATTTAAAAAAAATTGATTTTTCTTTTCCGAGTTCGTTTGGGTCTTCTCCCAGACCTATTCTCATGATTGGGGTTTCAAATTGAATCTATGCACGCATAGATTTCACATCAAGCATCAGCATATATATTATATGTGTGTGTATGTGTGTGTGTCCGTGAAGACAATAACTTGAGTAATCTTTGTCTGATTTTGATAAAATTTGGTTTGAAGTTATAAGGCGGGATAAACTTGAATGAGTTCGTGAACCAGCATGATTGGACCATGGGAATGGGGTTAAACAGGGATTTTATGGCGTTAAAATGGTTTTTTTCAAATTTTAACTTTAAAACACAAAATTTACGGTATTAATTTTTCTCCAAACCTTTTTAAAGAGCTAAAAAAACAAATAATTTAGTATATCAAAGTGTTTTTGTATGGCTATTGGTCACGGGGAAAATTAAAAAAATTGTTAATTTCAAATTCCCATGTTATTCTTATGGAGAATATTGTAAAATGTTGTAGTTGACTTGTTTATGGATATATTTTGATCAAACTTGGCAGATTTATTTATTTTATACTAAGATATTAATATTTAAATAAAAACCACACTCTATTAGTTTCCCTGTAGCAGCAAACCTAGGTACTCTTTAAACATAAATGTTAATTAAATAGATTAATTGAAAATCAATCCAGGCAAATGGAAATTCGCTTACTCGGCAGGTTTGCAGTAGTGGGAGTATTTTTACATGTTTTAGACTCAAAATAATAAGTTAATTATAGACTTTGATTAGTTGAAATTGATAGTTTGAATCTAAGTTCAAGATAATGTATTACTCAATTAAAAATCATAAATTTGATAATTTTTTTGATTATTTATTTCAACACTATGGCGCAGCATGGGTCCTATGGTATAAATTAAATTGAATTGCATTTGCAAGATTTAAACACAACAAAATTTTATAATTAGAAATATAAAATAAAACATCTCTTACCTTTCCCAAAGAATGAATCCGTCATCAATAATTAGAGGAATTGTATGAATCGGGTTCAACTGAAAACAAACAAAATTGTATTCAAACTTAAATTGTTGTTTGAGAGAAAATGTTAGGATCTTTTTTTGACTTGAATTACCTATTTTGTTTATGTACGTTCATTCATTCGTGGTTGACAAATAACATCAGATAAATAAGTTCTAGCATTGAGTATACACTAAAGTTCTAAGTTGAATTATCTTTTTTTATAAAATATTATTAACATGTTTAATAAATCAAGAAAAAACTAAAAGAGTTTAGAATTCAGTTTACTAAATTAGGTTTTGAGTATTTCACCGATTCAGCGGCTATTTTAAAATCAGCTAGTTAAAAGTGGAACTAAACTACAGATATTAAAATTAAATAAATATAATTGCATCTTAAACTTGAACACTTCACCTTCAGGAAGTCTGGTTTGAATTGCTCCTTATTCAGCGTATCCACGACTCTGTATTCCGCAGAGAGACCAAGAGCGTGGATGACCAGATCGACAGATCGCGCCGGAGGCGACAGCGACAGGTAGTAGAACACTAGCGGCATACTGTCAAATATTGTAGCAGTTGTTAAAGTTAGTAGACTTAACAATAATCTTTTTCTAGATATTAAACCAATAATGTGCAATTTATTATTGTATCATATTTGTACGATAGTGATTGTTTTACGAAGTTTGTCCGAAGCTCTTTGGGATCAACTTCAATGCTATCTTTATAACACTTAATCTCAATAACGGCGGAACATATTTCAGCGAAACTTACCAAGATTGTTTTGTCAAATGTTTGGATGGTTTACACATAACCAATTTAAATTTTTGATAACGCCTATATAATTTTAAAGCAAAATTCAAAGTTTTTAAATTTAACATTGACTTTATGGGTTACCATGTTGGTTACAAAATAACAACGCAAAAATAAGACAAAGAATCATAGCATATGTTTAAATCAAGCCACGACCTAAACATAGTATAAAAGAAAAAAGTGGATGATGACCACTGATCAAATAATGTGCAACATGTTCAAGCTTTTTCTCTGGAGTATTTTAATATTATCTACCAAATATATAAAGATTCATTTGGTTTGAAATAAGACTTAAATATTATTTATGTGAGTTTGTTGTATTATTTTTAAAGTTACAAAAAAATGTAAAAAACTAGATTGTTGAACACAAATATTTTCCATTGTTAACAGAATTTTTTTTCAATTTAAGTGGTTTTAGATAAAAAAAATAATCCTGTCTGATCCTTTTTACCTCAGAGTAAAATAAATAAACAAACCTGTTATAAGATTTGAGATGTTTCACTTGCCTCTATCAAATGCTAACTAAATTAATCAATAGCAAGATCTTTACTCTCTATTAAATTCATAATTGCTCTTTGCCAGTGCCATTATCAACACTAAATGTGTTGTTATTTGCTAAATAGCTATGTAAACTATTTTACACACAGTGACTGGAGGAGAAAAATTTGATAAAACAAATTAGCAACCAATAAACTTAAATGGGGTTTTCTTGTAAAGGCCTAGCTTAGCTACTATGGAGAAGTTGTATTTTGTGTATGAATGAAGCTGTTAGTAGGCCTAAAGGATTCTTTGGAGTAAATTGTAGAAAGTTTCAATTTTGATTGATTAAACTGCAGTTCCTTGGCTTATGTGTTCCCTTTAACAGTGATAAAACAGTGTTAAGGTAGTTTAACGTGCATAACGTAACCTATTGTAAAAACTAAATGGCAAAATAAATATTTAAATATTTTAACCAGTTTTTTATATCATCTTGAAGGAATTTAAACTCATTTAAAGATGTTTATTTAATCTTTTTGGCAACTGGCTAAGTAATACAATTAATTGGCATGGGAATCTTGGACCGCTTAATAATTCAGAACTTAAAGTAAGCCTATTGCATATCATCTGGATACTATAATCCATATTTTTCAATATTATCATGGAATAAACAACACAAGTATGTTTAATATATGGATATGTATAGTGGCATCCTACCTAGATAAAACACTTATCAATGATCTGCTTCCATCGAATAAGTCAAACCCCGTATTGTTGATAATTTTTTTTTTTTAATGTTCATAACTTTAAACAGATTTTGAATACACATTTGGCCTCTAGGGACCTTAAAACGAAAAATGAAATCGGTCCCGGGTCCAGGTCTTACCACGAGTACTACGGCAATAGCTTATTCCCTATGTGGGAAATTCGCTAAAACAGGCCATGCTGCAGCGCAACACTATGTCACAGTGGTGGATAGTTGTACTAAAATCTTACCATTAAAATCTGACAAATTTTTACCCAAAACATATGGGATATGGCAGTGAATCTACCAATGAATCCATCCACTAAACTTGTTACACTTTCGCTGGGGGGACTTTTCACACTTGGCTTGCATGCTCTTTTATTAAACAACACTCAACACTGAATCACTCACAATTAATTAAATTACACTTCTCACTTCACTTCAATTGAACCCCTTTTCACTTGTGACAGTACATTGTATGGTAGAAGTTTAAATTATTTACTACTAGCTGTAACCCGCGGGCTTTGCCCCGTTTAACTTCTTAATTTTCAAGATTATCTCGTTCGCATGGCTCAATCACGTCCTGGTTGAAGTTTGTTCGCTACGCTCACTCACCTTTGGGTTGGAGCTCGTTCGCTACGCTCACTCACCGTTAGGTTGGAGCTCGTTCGCTGCGCTCACTTGCCTTCAGGTTAGCTCGTTCGCTACGCTAACTCGCCTCCAGGTTGAAGTTCGTTCGCTACGCTCACTCACCTTTTGGTTGCAAATTAGCTGTTGTCATAAATGTAAAAGAAATAATAGTGCTGCACCCTGTTGGTAATCCTTGTAACTTTAATGCTATTGAACATCACAGAACAGAACCGACTTGTTTAATTGAAACAGCTGTTAAGATTCAATAATTCCATTTCTCATAAGGTTAACATGGGAAACTCCAGAGCCACTGGGGCGGAGCCCGAAAGGATTTTTGAAATAAGAATATGCCTATATGTTAATCGGGAATGTGAGCTATCATCATGCCAAATTTCAGCCCAATCCGACCAGTATTTTTCGCGTTCACTTGTCACAAACATACATCCATACATCCATACATCCATACATCTAAACTTTCTCATTTATAATATTAGTAGGATTGCAGGATGTTTAAGTTTTAATGTTGTTTGAATCCAGTGACAAAACCAGTATTACAATAATTTATTTACCTATTTTACCTGAAGGTCTTGTAGTTTGAATTAGTACTCGATGAGCATTTCGCCGCTCAGTGAGGCATCTTCATGGAGTATCAATATCTCAAATCTTCTTACACTACTGTACATATTTACACTTTAAAGTGTAAATATGTTTGCAAACCGTCACTTCCGATGTCACTATTGGTGGATATGCCTATCATTACTTAGATAGCTAGGATAATGCTGCAATTAGGTGCAGATATGGACCTACCAGTGTCTGTTCGCAGAAGATACATCACCCCTCAAGATCCAACAAACCAAAATTACCTCCGTACATGAAGAATAAAGTGTTGTGATGCCTGTTGTGTACAGTCATAATAAAAACAATTCCCCATCCCTGTCTCCCATAAAATCACTAAATGAATATTTATATAAATAGAGCAATAACCAATCGCTAAATAAAGAATAATGAACACTTCAGGAAAATGATTGAAAAAAAAAATGAGTTAGTTAAGAATTAAGACATTGGAACCCATCATGAGTATGCCCTACCCATGCTAGATATTGTTTTTTTTTTAAGATTTCTCATTGTTAGACAAGATTTTATTTTTTATTTTTTGTAATTAATGTTCATGTATTTTTTGTGTGTGTTGTTAGTAAGTATGGAGTTAGTAATATTATAACTCCATTTCTGTGGGGATTTTATATTTCACTGATATTTGTCCGTAGAATAATATAATTTTCACCATATATTTTTCTTTGTCAATATAATAATTCATCTCCCTTTTCAAAACTATGTATAATAATTTTCCAAGCAGACCAATAGGTGAATAATTCAATATAATGTTATATAGAACACTTTTAAATAACCTAATTATCTAAATATATGATAGGTGATGGTGATAGACTATAACCTTTTGTGACAAAATTGCTTCAAATTCAATATAATTTACTTAAATAACTTTTCCAAATTCAAAATTAGCTCTTTAGCGGGTGTAAATTTGTATATTATGTGTGTGAACAGTAACCTAAAAGTTTACTGTGATGTAGCAAGTGTAGTCAGCATTGACATGTGATTTGAGTGCAGCAATGCCCTAAACTTTCCTCACTTCCAACAGAGCTAAACTAGTGTGAAGATACTAATTATCGTAAACAAGCATATTTTAAACATTTTGTTCTCATAAAATATCTGAACAAAGTAACTTAGTGAACATTTTATAAAAGAAGATTCGTGTTTGTTAAATTACAAACACCAAGAAGTATTTTATTACCCGTGCCTGTGAAGAAGACATCAAAATTGATATGATATCACTCCTAAACATATAGCCTACCTACTTGGAAGCCATTACAACATTTAGGCCATAACTTTTTGAACATTTATACCATATTTAAAATTAAGAAACTATATTAGAAGCTTATTCCAGAAAATTAATTTAACTAATCAGAAGAAGATTTTTAAAATAATCTTTATTTCAAAACCAAATTTAATTATCAAATCACAAGATTAAATTCTAACGCCCGATCACCAACCTGGGATAGAGAACAAGTAATAAACCCCGAGCCTAAAATAAAAAGAGTGTACTAGCCTTACTACTAGCCTACCGGTACCTAATAAGTTACTTTGTGAAGTTTGTTTAAAAGAAACATGAATGTGACTAAGGTACATACTATACAGGGTATTTTTTTCAACTTGCTTCTTTATTTATGTAAAAAATACAACAGATAGAAATATGCAGTTTGCAGGAATCATCTATAGAGGCCACAATTGTTGTGATTTCAACGGCCCCATTCACTCCCTTTCTCCCCCTATCCTCAACTTAAAAATTTTAAATTACAAGATGAGAGGTCATGCAAAAGGAAAAATAATGGCGCAAACTAGAGGTTTCTATGTCAATCCAATAATAAGTTATGGCAGATAAAAATCTTAATTCCCCTCCCCCCTTTGAGAAAAACACTTTTTTTTTTAACGGATATAGCTAAAAAACGGTAAGAGCTAGCAAAGATTTGAAAGAATTTTCACAGTCGGGAATTAAATTTTCTACAAAACACTCTCGACGTTTTCCAAAAATCGCATACATTCACCTTCAAAAAGACCCTATTTCTGAAATTTGTAAAACTTTTTGGATTGTTGATGTGTTTTTAATTGAACAAACTTTTTTCAAAGGTGTCACTAGCTGGCATGCTTGTTCAATAAAAAAGACACATAGAAAATCCAAGAAATTTTACAAACTTTAGAATTAGAGCGTTTTTTGATGGTGAAGGAGTTTGATTTTCGGAAAACGCCTAACAGTGTTTCGTAGAAAATTTAATTCCTGACTATAAAAATTCTTTCAAATCTTTGCTAGCTCTTCCCGTTTTTTAGCTATGGCAATTTTAAAAAAATGTGTTTTTCTCAAAAAAAAGGGAGGGAATTGAGATTTTGAACTGCCATAACTTTTTATACGATTGACGTAGAGATCTCTAGTTTGTGCCATTCTTTTTCTTTTTTCATGCCCTCTCAGTTGATATATATAAAAGGAGTACCTTGTAATTAAACAATTTAAGTTAAGGGTATGGGGAGAAAGGGGGTGGATGGGAACTTAACGTTGAAATCACAACAATTGTGGCCTCTACGTCAATAGATGATTCCTGCAAACTGCATATTTCTATATATTGCAGTTTTTACATAAATAAAGAAGCAAGTAAAAAAACCCTGTATGCATTACTAACGTTTAACATGACTTTTTGTCAGTCAAAACCATTGAATTCAGTGGTTACAGTTTTCCACAATACTGTACTATATTTTGTACCCAAAGTCGAAGAGTGATGTTTTTCTGAGGTAAGAAGGTAACTTTTTACCATGCTAAAGAATAAATTTATTCTAAAGTATTGATAACTTAAATTTGATTAGCAATTTAAAAATAATTTAGTGACTGTTAAAATTAGGTACATATGTAGTTGTAAATTGTAGGTAGATGTATTTTTGATTTTCCATCCTGACCAAAACTCCATCAAAATCACATGTGCTATTTACACATCTCCATAATAATAAATATGCTGTTTAAAGAACAACAAGAAAAGTAGAAGCCTACCTGATGAGCGAACCTTGCTCAATAGTGTTTTTTTTTTTTCAATATTTACAACAGCATTATAAAAAGACATATAAAATGAAACTATATTATTATTTTATGCAACATTATACCTTCAGTATCCAAAAGTCAATGATTATGCTATTAAAGATTAATGATTGATTTAATCAAATCAAATAGTTATCAGACAAAATTGAAAATCCAACATACTATTACAGTACTATATTAATATTAACTAGCTGCTGTGCCCATGCTTCGCAACGGGTAGATGTACCATACTGCCTAATCCTAACACTTTTTAAGTAGATCAAACTTATAAACAAAGAGCCAACAAATTTGTACAAAAAAGTATGACCTACATTATAATTGCCCTACTGTTTACATTCAAATATATCAATAAGATAATTTTCATAGCTTATGGTTATAGAATTTTTCTTTATTTCCATAATCAATGACATAAATAAACCTACCACATAGTTGTGTAAAATATTTTATATAATGTTTACAATTAACATATGTTTTTCTCACTTTTAATTTCTGACAACAGCTAGAGTTTCATAACAATTTTTGTTTAATTGTTTCCCATGTTAATCTTATGGAGAAATACAAAACTTTAAAGGGCCCAGGGCCTCAGTCTCTAATTATTTCCCTAACCAGAAAGTTTCCTGAACAACTTCACGTTACACTCTTCCCAATGACACCAAAAACATGTCAATTGGTTCAGTAGTTTCAGAGGAGTAATAGTCACAAAAAACCTGCTTGCGTATTAAATAAGTAATAGATAGATAGATGTAAAACAGTTACTGATGTCCTATTTTGAATTTTGTCATAACAGTTCTTCGAGGCTGAAACAGGATTAATCAATTCTCAGTTGAAATTTTCAATCTTTTTTATTTTAAAATGTGCGGTTTAATCGGTACATATATATATATTGGCACACACACGACAAATTAAAAGAATTGATTTTAAAACACTTAAAGACAAGATTCTTTGCATTCCACTTGATCTAAAAAATCTTCTAAAAATTGCATTTCTGCCCTTTACTACACAAACTGTATGCTCAACCAAACACTTTTAACTGAATTTCAATATTTTTGGATGAGAAGAATTTTACAAAATACATATTAATACAAATATATGCATTTTACACACACACTTCAATGGATTTTAAACCATTTTAAACTCCAACTATTGTTTTCAAGAATACCATTATTCCACTGTTGTTGCTCTGTACATCAACTTGTCTGAGGGAAAGTCATATGATAACAATTTTTGGGTATACTTAGAATCAAGTGATCATTTTCAATGTTGGGCTCAGTGTAACTGCATCTCCACTTGTGGCCTCCATTTACCTTCATCTTGACAGAGTACTGGGTGTTTGGCTTCAAGGTTATGTTTCTCCCATTCACAGCTAGAGGAATCTCAAACTTCTTCGCATATTTGACATGCTTACTGAAATGCAAGTTTATCGCAGGTTCATACACTCGCAAGTTGGTCCACTCAGGTATTATTGTTGCTGAACAGCTCACTTCATATGTATCATCTACAGGGACTCCTGGTTTAGGATCCCGTGATTCACACTGTAGTGTTAACAGCTCAATTGCATGGCTTTTGGTAGTCAGGGTAAAGTTGTAAACCAAACCGACGCTATCATACACTTTTGGCATAATAATTTCTAGTTGATCAAGGACAGTCTTTGCCTCTGTTTTTGTCATTGTCCTTGGTTTAGTTTCATTTGAAAACTGACTAAGAGTTAGAAGGGTTTCCTTATTAAAATGACAATGACACAAATTATTGGCTTCTTCTGTGTCTAACATCCCAGAACAAATCACTTCCAATTTGTCTTCCGGAGTCAGTGAGTAAGGTCTCAACTGTTGAGTCAACCCTGAGAGTTGTTGGCGGACCAGCTGTCCATCTTCCGACTCAGCTGGGAAAAAACATTTTCCGTATTAAAATATGATGGTTACAAGTTAAAAGAAAACTAATCAGGTTCTTGTTATATCTATCTCCTTCACAATTAAGTGGAATTTATTAAAATCAGTCTTAAAAAAGCATGACCAATCCTATGCACTATTTACGGTAAATTATTGTACTGTTTAAGAGAGCATTGAGGAAAGCTTATCCTAATGATTTCCTGCATATTAAAAGAATTTAGATCGAATGACGTCAATATCAGAAACCTTAAATGAAGCCAACAGCAGCTAATCAAAGAGAGACAACTCGGAGCTGAACTAACAACAATGTTGAAGATCAAGTCATTTTTAATCTAGAAAAGTATAAGGCAAGAACCTACAAAAAACAATCAAGAACCTAACAAGAAATACAATTTCAGAAAATTACCAAGCAAAAAACACCTTAACATTTAATTATTTAGAATCTCAAACCTTCAGCTCTGAGCTCCCTACACAAAACAGCTCATTGCCCCTGCTACTTGAGCTAGCTAAGCTGAAGACCCCACAAGAACAAACAGAACAAACTTTGGCAGCAATTGAAAGTAAAATACTACAGCAAGAGAATGCCAAGAATACAATCTCTCCTAATGATACACTACCTACACCGTCCTTGTGAAAGCCTGAAAACCAATTAAAACAGCACAATAAGGAAAAAGCTAAGGGTAATGAATAGGAATATTTTTAGTGTGTCACTCCAGATAAAGAAAAGCAAAGAAATGGACAGAAAAAATACAAAAGCGAAAATTAAGTACTCTCCAGAGCAGCTTAAATTCTACTCCTCGTCCTAAGCCCACTCAATGAGCATACATAGAATCCCCTATCTATGATCTAGGATCCCTATCCTGTTATTAACAGACAGACATTTAAGGTACAAAAACGACCTCCCTGTGTCGTTAAAACACCGCAACCAGATGAATCACTTGAAGACTTTGAGAAAGAGCACATATGGGATCTCACACTAAAAGCTATCACAATGTCAACAACATAACCAGGTAACAGTGCAAGATTCCAACAAGACCCTAGACCATTTTTTAAGTGGGAAGAAATAAACAGACGACCAAACATAGAATCAACTTCCCTCCTGAATGTCACCAACCAAAACACAAACCCAGATCATAAACAAAGAAATCAGTGCAAAATCACAGCAACGCACCAAAACATTAACTGGTTGGCTCCAAAAATTAATAGACTTGTACAATTCTTACAAGAGAAAAAAACTAAACCATATAAATTGCAGAACACGGCCTGCCACAAGAAAAATACAACGAAGCAAAGGAAAGCTATCATTTCTGTTAGAGCGTAGGAATAATCTAAACATTTTAGAAGTAATTATCAGTGAAATATGTATATTTAGTGTTGATATCAATTTCACGCTCAGTAAGCAAGCCACATTAGGCATATGATGAACCAAGTCCTATTCATCCCAACAACAATCAATGACGAAAAGACTATAAGGTAAGAAGTTCACTGCTTCGGCTTAAAGGAATGTTTTACTTGCTGCTCCATCTAATAAGGAAATAAATTCATATTTAATGTCACTGTACTTTATCATGTCACTCATTTTAACAAATACTGTACATCTCTTTGACGTTATTAAAATGTAGAAACTAGTAACATGATTATTAAAGATTTGATTGATTGATTGATTTAATCAAATCAATTAGTTATAAAACAAAATTGAAAATCTAACATAACACTACTATTACTGTACTAATATTAATGTACATCAATTACTAATATCCTATTTTGAATTTTGTCATAACAATTCTTGGAGACTGAAACAGGTTAAAATAATCAATCCTCTGTTGAAGTTTTCAATCTTTTTTATTGTAAAATGTGTGATTTAATTGTTACACATATATACATACACACAGCAAATAACAAGAATTTGTAGATATTAGCCTAGACACCTATATTATTAATATTTTTACCTTTTTGGTAGCCTAAGGTGTCCAAAATTCTTATCTCCTGCGAGACGCGTTTCGCATTAATTACAATGCATCTTCAGTCGCTGTCACAGGTCTCAACATTGCCCACAGAAGTGGTTGTCACAGTTTATAAAACATACTAACACAACTGTACAGTTCACAAAACACATATGTATATACAGTTTTACAACCATATACTACGCTCGCTTGATGTACAGTACGTGTGTGACCATGGTTGTAAAACTGTATATACATGTGTTTTGTGAACTGTACAGTTGTGTTAGTATGTTTTATAAACTGTGACAACCACTTCTGTGGGCAATGTTGAGACCTGTGACAGCGACTGAAGATGCATTGTAATTAATGTGAAACGCGTCTCGCAGGAGATAAGAATTTTGGACACCTTAGGCTACCAAAAAGGTAAAAATATTAACAAGAATTTATTTTAATCCACTTAATTTTAAAGACAAGATTCTTTGCATTCCACTTCTACAGCAGCATGGAAAAAACTATAGACTAACCAACACAAGTAGACTTCTCATCCCATTGTAAATTTTGAAGCTCGTTTTTCATGTCTAGTTCATGTACGCCACACTGGGCGCTAGTGTCGACGAAATTTTGTTTCTATTATTTTAGGTTTAATTTATTGATTTGTGCTTTACTGTTTGGTTAAATAACTAGGGGACAATTTATTGTTTATGATTAGATCGTATTATTTGGTTAAACGAGGTTTTAAATGACTGTATTAACGGGAAACAAATTGTAAACAAAACACGACCTCTACATAAACCGTACAGAACTAACAATAAAATTGTCTTCAGCTGTTCCATTAGGATGAGAAATCTACTAAGAGAGTATGTTTTATCTTTGATAAAACTAAAAAAAATTTTGAAAATTGCATTCTTTACCCTTTACTACACAGACTGTATGCTCATAAACAAACATATTTTTAACTTAATTTCAATATTTTTGGATGAGAAGAATTTTACAAAATGCATATTATTCCTAAATGATCAGAGTTAAGTGAAAATCATAAAACACTATAAAAATATATGCATTTTCTGTACACACACTTCAATGGAATTTAAATCCCAACTCCAACTATTGTTTTCTAGATTGCCATTATTCCACTGTTGTTGCTCTGTACATCAACTTGTCTGAGGGAAAGCGGTACCAATCACCTTTCTTGGATATACTTAGAATCAAGTGATCATTTTCGATGTTGGCCTGTCTGTCACTGTATCTGATCATGTGTTCCCCTTTCACCTGCATCTTGACAGAGTACTCGGTGTTTGGCTTCAAGGTTATGTTTCTCCCATCAACAGCCAGAGGAATCTCAAACTTCTCTCCACACTTGACATGCTTACTGGAATGCAAGTTTATTGCAGGTTCATACCCTCGCCAGCTGGTCCACTCAGGTATTATTGTTGCTGAACAGCTCACTTCATATGTCTCATCTACAGGGACTGGTGTAGGATCCCATGATTCACACTCTAGTGGTAACAGCTCAATTGCATGTCTTTTGGTAGTCAGGGTAAAGTTGTAAACCCTACTAAGAGGTTCCCATGCCACATGTGGCATAATAATTTCTAGTTGATCAAAGACTGTCTTTGTTTTTGACATTGTCCTTGGTTTAGTCTCATTTGAAAACTGACCAAGAGTTAGAAGGGTTTCCTTTTTAGAATGACAACGACACAAATTGATGGTTTCGTCTGTCCCTAAAACCCCAGAACCAATCACTTCCATTTTGTCTTCCGGAGTCAATGAGTAAGGTCTCAACTGTTGAGTCAACTCTGAGAGTTGTTGGCGGACCAGCTGTCCATCTTCCGATTCAGCTGGGAAAAAACATTTTCCATATTAAAATATGATAGTTACAAGTTAAAAGAAAAATAATCGTCTTTATGATTATGTAGAATTTAATAAAAGCAGATTCTAAATCCAATTTCACTATTTACAGTAATATGTTGTAATATGGATACGCTAAGCAGCGCCACTAGTTTAATTATTATTAATGTTACCTTTTTTAGCGAATTTCCCTATAGGGAAGTAGCTATTACCGTAGGTCTCATGGTAAGACTTAGGCCCGGGACCGATTTACTTTTTCATTTTGATGTCCCCAGAGGCCAAAAACACCATTCGTTCAAATTTTTATATATGTATATATATATATATATATATATATATGTGTCCGTGAACACGATAACTTGAGTAATTTTTATCCGATTTTGATGAAATTTGGTTTGAAGGTGTAAGGCGGGATAAACTTGAATGAGTTCGCGATCCAGCATGATCGGACCATGGGAACAGGGTTTTATGGGGGGTTTTATGGGGTAAAAATTGGTTTTTCTCACTTTTGACCCTCAAAACACAAAATTTTCCAATTTTTCTCTAAACCTTCTTAAAGAGCTTAAAAAAACAAACAATTCAGTATATCAAAGTGTTTTTGTACGGTTATTGGTTACGGAGAAAACTAAAAAAATTTAAATTTAAAATTCCCATGTTATTCTTATGGAGAATATTGTAAAATGTTGTAGTTTGCTTCTTTATGGATATCTTTTGATCAAACTTGGCAAATATATTCATTTTATACTAGGCAATAATTATTTTACTTAAAACACACTATTTATTAGTTTCCTTGTAGCAGCAAACCTATGTAGCCTACTCGTTAAACCTAATGTTATTTAAATAGATCAATTGAAAATCAATTCAGCCAAATGGAAATTCGCCTAGACGGCAGGTTTGCTGCGGCGGGGGTATTCTTCTTACTTTTATTAAGTTTATAAATATCTTGCTTCTTGTTTTGCATATTTACTCAATTATTTTTGCGAATAACAAACAAGGTTGTGTTGCCATAGACACCAGATATCACCCAAAATCAGCTGGGGTAAGGTAAAACAAACATTATTTTTTCTATGTTATTACTTATAAAAGTAAACAACATGTGATTTTTCTACCTAGGGAATCAATTGAACTTTATAACAGTAGTGTCATTTCCATTTGGTATCCTTATATATAATTCTGTAAGACAAAATTTTTACCAGAAAATTGTGGACGTCTGGTAGGACGCAGAAAAGTGGGAGATATCTTAAATTAAAGGTCTTGACCCCAGGGACTCGGGAAAAATAGTAGAATTCCCATAAAGTAACCATAAAACGAGATATAACGTAAAATGTTCTCCATAAGAAAAGCATTAGAAGCCATTTACTGCTGATTTTTGTTTACTTCAATTACTTCAATACAGCTGATCGTGATTCATCATCAAGCCAGTATAAGCAATGATAACATTAATTTGGATTACTTTTTTGTCAGTCAATTCTGTAACGTACTATATAAAACCAGGGATAACGTTACCTGTAAAAATTAAGACTTTTTAGTTACGTTATGGAATGGGGAAATAAATAATTTTACTGTGAAACTTTTCAAATTTGTGTATTTTTAACGTTTAACATTAAATAACCACATTGACTAAATAATTAACGATTCAAGATTAAATGGAACACTTCTGCTTTGTTTTTATTTCAAAACATATGTTCTAGATTTATTCTACACTTTTCTTTCTTTTAAATTTGAGATTTATTGTAGTGTTTAATCAATACTTTGTATGAAGTGGAATAACCTCAATGGCTTTAGAAAATAACCTGGAAATAAAGATGGAATAGGTTCGTACAGGAAATATATATTTGTTAATTAAGTAAGTACTATGACAAGTTCAAATGGGAGGAAAAACAATATGCTTGGAGATTTTAAACAGGTAGGCCTACTGTCCGTTGCTCGCAAAAGAGTTAAGAATCAGCCAATGATTAGGCCTAATTTGATAGAATAGGCTATGTAACGTCAATCGCACCTTTAAGAGGAATACCACCACTTAAACTTTCACTAATTGTAGTTTTTTTATGTTGATCAGAAGAAATCTAGGGTTAAGTTTGGTCAATGGGATGCCTTTACTTTACACTAATAAACCCTAACAAAAGAAGTATAAACTTAGGATTATTTACTGGGTAGGAATGCTAATTTAGCAGGTTTGGCAAAGAACTAAGCTTACCTCAAAACACCTTTATTTGCCTTTTCTTATTTGACGAAGACAATTTCCAAAGTTCCAATCAGGGAGGTCTTTTTTATCACAATCAACCACAAGACCAAAGCTACCTTAATAAATCATCATTTATTCAAAAACAATTATATGTTTGCTGTCTCTATCAGAGTTAAAAGCTATGTATTTATTCAAATGATTTATTGAAAATAACATCATCAAAGGCAAACAAAGACAAAGAACAAACTGTTTTTTACACAAAAGATATGGCGTACAGGGATATCTATTCTGACACAGCGATAAATATATTTCTTAGTTTGTTTGAATATTGGAATACTGTAATTTGTTTTATTTTATTGAGCTTTTTAGGGACTTATGTCCCTACAAGCCACTAGTCTGGATTAATCTTGGAATTTGTAAATCAAGTTTACTTTTAAAAAATAGTTTTTAAAATATTTTATTTTATAATCTTTATAATTTTTTTTATCTGACTATCCAATTACCACTTTTTTGTAGACAATTTTACTGTGAAGAAAATGGCAAAAGAATTATAACCAAAGGTTTTCTTTTATAACAATTAAAGTAAAAGTCTACACATTTGGTAAATTTAATTGTTGACAGAAGGCACTGAGGGCAGCGCATTTATTCCTTCCCCAATGAGTTAATTACAGAACACGAGACTGTCACAAGAAAAATGCAATAAAGCAAAGGAAATCTATCATTCATGTTAGAGCGTAGGAACCCTCTTAGACATTATAAGGCATTATTGTGAATTATGTATATTTAGTGTTGACATCAATTTTAAGCTCAGTAAGAAAGCTCCCTACATTAGTAATATGATTAACCAAGTCATTTTCTTTCCAATGACAATCGTCTGTCAAAATCCATTAAGGAGAAACAAAAGCTGGTAGATTTAGCAAAAGATTATGGATTTTAAGATTAAAACAACTTCACTACTTAAAGGATTGTTTTACTTGCTGCTCCATCTACTAAGGAAATAAATTCATATTTAACGAGGTGTTAGCCCATCCTACGTACGGGAGTAGTCAGTTAAAACAGTGTATAAATCAGAACAGCTAGCTTACACGTATAAAGACAAATTTTATAGCAGCCTACAGTAGAAAGAGTAATTATCAATTGAGAAAGTGTATAGGCCTAGTCAACGATATCACCTTCCAATTCCATCGCATACCTGCCTCTTCCATAATCAATATCAACACAATACACTTACTCATACTATACACAATTTCCAGTAGGTCTGAATAGAAACTCCCTAAAATAAAACGAAAACATCCAATAAAATTCACAGGACACATAATTATAACGTTGATGTCCTGACATCATTAAACGAATCGTTCACACATATCCTTTATATTAATTTCACTGCATCAATTGGTAAATAAAATAAGTGTAAACAAAGAAAAGTAAAAACAACAACATATAGTTTGTTTTGGTAAACAAATGAGTCAAAAATAAAATAATATTCATTTGAACAAAAGAACTGGTCACATGTTGAAGGAATTTAAAACGTAAAACACGCTAGTAAAGCTAGTGACGTAATTAATTGTCTATGTTTATTATCCATTCCGTTATCAGTTCTAATATCCTTAATAATTAAACCACCCTCATTGAATCAATGTACACCGTAATTCCCCATATTAATTTATTTAAACTATAAAATATTCAGCGCCTCCAAACGTAACCACAACTAAACACACGCCAAACAACTTTTTAGATTTCATAAAAGGATGGTTAGTCTAATTGCAGTATCCTAGGTCAATGATGACGTTGTGCTCAATCTATGTTATTCATATCTGTATATCTTTGGATAAAACCCGTCTGGGTTGTGGTGGTAATTTAAAATTGTATTCCTGAGGATTCTTAATCTCTTTCTTTATGACATCAATATTTCATGGCCTAATCCAAACAAAGTTTAATCATTCAAAAACATTGATTGTAAACAAACCAAGATGAATTAAAACATGTAAAAAATGGATTTTCCTACCCTTTCCTAAAAAAGTTGAGCAGTATAATAATTTGCATATCCTTTTTTTAAGACTCGTGTACAGAGCCTCGACTTGTATACATTGATGGTGTTACTTTTCTCGGTGGTCTATTTATACTAATCTTACTTATTTCCTAAAAATCAATGACAAATCAGAGTAAATAAAATAACCTCATAGTTCTACAGAGGATTTATATTTAACCAGCTGTTAGTTAAAAGAAAATTATATTGCACTAAAACAAACCGAAGATTACAAAGATTTATTTAAAAAATCCTTTAAACATCCTAGTATTTTACCTATGTATATTTAAATAACCTGTCATCCTCTTATCGAAGGATTGAACGTATCAATGATTAGCATTACACATAGTATTAATTTAGTCAACCCTTAGTATGTCTTTTAATTTTATCCAAATGCTGAATTTGTGTTACAAACGCTGAATGTTTACAGCTGTTATGTTAAACAAATTATATTACACCAAAAGCTATTTTAGAATCTTAGCGTCGGCTGCTAGACTTTTCAAAAATTAAAACTAAATTTCTAAATAACTGGGACCCTAAACTAAAATTATGGCTTCGACATTCCCTAGTTCTCAAAATTATCTTTCTTTCAACACAAAAATCATGAAAATCCGTCAAGTGGTTGATTCAGAATCGTGAAATAAAAAAACCCTGTTTCATTTTAATATTATAGATGTTACTACTATATTACTGTACTGTATGTTACACATTTCAACAAATACTGTACACCTACTTGACATTACTGTATTCAAATGTACAGTAGACACTTTCAACATGAT